GAGTGTTCTCGAGAATTAATTTCCAATTGACAGAAAACTACCGTCAACATATATGTGTTAAATTCTTGGATTTACAGAAAATTACTTTATTTATAAATAAATAAAAATCTTTATTTTTTTGATAAATCTTAAATTTACATGTAAATCGTTCCAATAGGACAAAATATGTGTTATTTGGTGAATCTATGAAAAAAAAAAAAGAAAAGAAAAATCAATGAACTAAAAAAAAAAGAAAGGGCAAAATTGAAAAATACTATACTTTTAAAAAAATTGAAAAAAATTAATAATTTATGTTAAAAAAGGAAATACACACGTACTGTTCACTATATGATGCAATATCTATTAAATGATATAAAATGTTCTATAACCGCCACTTAGAAGGTCAATATTTACTTTTACATAGTACATAATTCTGATCTATGTACTTATCTTAGCAACGTATTAAATTGTCTATTTAATAAAAAAGTGCTCGTAATAAAAAAGTGAGGGAAAAAAAAAAAGGCCGCGGTGGTGGCTTGGTGGGTGAGGAGATCCACTACGTTCGTTGGTTTCATCCTCAATTTTTGCCATGCGTTCGTTGGGTGTTCTTGTTTCCAATTTTTGCTCAACCCAGAAGCACAGAAACCACTACCAAGAAATAGATCCACCGGCTTTAGACGATAATCCAATTTATGAAGAAAAAGGAAATGAATGACCACGCAAATTGAAACCAAGTTTCTAATGCTATTAAACCAAACCAAACAGGGTGTCAATGACTCAAATCAATAGACTAAGTGCCTAAAAACTTCGGTTTTGGATGAATTTATTTCAAATAAATCCTAGCAATCCAAACCATTATTGTATACAGGATTTCACAAAACCATAATCATTTCAAAACCAAGCTTTTGCACGCTAAACTCCCAATGTAGTACAGAAGAAGCAGGGAAGCAATTCTAATGAGGAAGCTCAAATGGGTTTTTCCCCTTTGACTCTTGACGAAAATGCAAAGCAGAGGACAACACAATGGGGATGTGGGCGAGAGCACCTTGAGATTTCGCTATTTGATTTTTTTTTTTTTTTTAGTTTTCAGGTCTTTTTTTTCTTTTCAGCAAATGGTACAAAAAAGAAAAATAATTTCTGTAACGGTGGAATTTTGTCAACAAGATTACGCTAGGTTACCTCTCGGTGTTCCGTTAGATTACCGGCCTAAAGTTGTTATATATATCTGGATTTATGCAACTAATTGTTCGTTTTTAGGTATATTGTGAGGGGTATTGATATGGTGTTTGAATGGAAATAGAGAGCCATAGAAATTTATAGTGGTTCACTCTATAAATAAGAGTTATATCCACTGCATATTGTAATTCTTTTTTTGGTTCTTCTCTAGTTACATAAAAATCCTATCTCTTTCTCTCTGGAGCTTTGCCCCTTTTTATAGCCTACGGATTACATATGGATCCTTTTTGGACGGACTGTCACAAGGGGTTTAATGATGCTTTCTCTCAGGTAGTCTATTATCCTACTTGCCTAGACCGTATCTTCTTAATACCTTTTGGACTGTTCACTCATCTACTTTGTCCACTATTGCGGCCCTGTGGATCCTTTGTGATTTTTAATGGTCCATTCCAGGCGATTTATGGGCTTGTAATCATTTCCTGTGCTACTGACCTTCTCCAAACTCAAACGCAACCTAGGGATCTCTAGCTTATCACCTCAGAGGTCTTCCTTGGGATGCAGACCCATTCGCCTGCTTTCTATCCTCTGCGCCTATACTTCTCAGGACGCGGCCTCTGTCTCGATAAACTGTACGTAGGGTCGACGGTCTCATGAATAGTCCCCTACGGTCGGCCTTTTCACCATATGGAGGGGAAATGAGTTTTTAGGGTTCGACAGCTATCTCACGTGGCAAGCATAGGGCCACATGGAGCATGGTCATTGTCCGACGTGTCAGCGCATATTTTCTCACAGAATAATTTCTAAGTCATCCACGTGTGATTAGCACATAAAGCATTTCTGTCTTTTTCTTTTTTTTTTTTTTTTTTTTTCTGAGAAGGTTGGACCATAAAACATTTTTTTTTTTTTTTTTTTTTTTTTTTTTTTTTTTTGACAAATTTCATATTCGGTAAAGTTGACTTTTTACATAGTTATTTCTAACAATAATTACAAAAATTTCATCTAAGCTATGACTCGTACAACAATTTGTCCTCTAATATTCAAAATGTAATACCCGTCCCCTCTGAATCATGAATCATTAATAACAATGCTCTTTCCGTCAGTTTTTTAACAAAAACATTGCTCATATCACGTAACTTCAGAGTCTTTTGGTAATCCTACATATTCTTGAAAAAAAATACTACAAATTATAAATTAAAACTTAAAGTATTTTGGTAATCATAAGTGTTCTTGAAAAAAAAAATACTACAAATTATAAATTAAAACTTTCTAAGTAAGTTTCTTTAATTAATAAATTAGAAGAGTAAAATTTATTGTTTTATTTTATTTATTATCATATTAAATTAAAATTAAAATCTATTTATAGAATATATAAATTTAAGAATCATGAGTAGACAGTAATTGTGTGCCAAACTATTTAGCAATAATAAATATTTGTGACAAGTGATAATTCTGTTAGAAACACTAACAGAATGAGCATTTTTGTTAACAATTCATAATTTGAGGAAACATGTGTTACGTTTTGAAAATTAGGGAGTAAAGTGTTACACGGGTTATAATTCAAGAAGAATTTTTGTAATTAATTTTAATTTTAATTAATTGTATTTATTTTTAAATTAGAAAACCTTTTGACTTTAGAATACTTGATCTCTTAGGTTTTAGAAGATTTGTAAATTTTATATATGTTTCTATGAATTCATGAAAAGGTGGAGTCATTCACAAATTCTTCTCTCTTAAATTTTTTAGGGTAATTGACACGGATGGTCCCTAAGCTCTTTAGTAGGTGATAGTTTGGTCTCTATTTTTTTTAATTTTAGTGAAAATGGTCCCCAACGTCATTAAATTGGTATAATTAAGTCATTTTTGTCAAATTCTTAACATAATGTATCATGTACAGAACATTTGACCTAATTTAAAAGAGTATTTAAGTAAAATTAAAATCCTTTTCAATATAATTAATATAATAAAATCAGAGTAGTTAAAAAAAAGAACAACAAATCAATTTTGAAAAAGAAAGTAAAATAACTTTATACACGAGAAAAGCCAAACTAATGAAGAAGGAAAAGTGAAACTTCACTGAATTAAAACCAAATCCATTTATGGGCAAAAGAATCTGCATCGACTTGATGTCAGGTGCGGTGGTCTTGCAGTACGGGCACTCGAACTTCGCATGGCTGCCCTTCTTCGCGCCGCCACAGTCGGCAAGGCCGGCTTTTCTGCCCCCACGATTCGTGGCAGCAGCTTCGATCTTGGCGGCAATCTTCTTCGCCACATTCAGTTGGCCTTGCTTGTCATGGCTGAATCTCCGATCATTGGAATTAGCATGTGGGTTTTTTTGGTTGGGGAATCGAGCGGATGGTGGGGAAGAGGAAAACGAGGAATAACCTAGAGAAGACTCAGAAATTGAAAACCCTAATTGAATCCTCAATGTCGCGATTCTTGATGAATCTTCGATCGGACTCCAAAAGAGAGGGGTGGTAGGAATTTGGAGGCGGCAGCTCTTGTTAGGGTTAGGGGTTGGATCGGACTTTGTAGAAGAAAGAAGTTGGTTTTTTATTTTTGTTAAAAAAAGGTTTGGTTGGTTATTGTGAGACATGAGGGTATTTTTGTATTTTCATCAAAAAAGATATGCACATGATCGTCACGTGAAGGATTTCATTAAAAATTTGACAGAATTAGACAAAAAGGACTTAATTGCACCAATTTAATAACGGTGGGGATCATTTTATGAAAATTAAAAAATAGGGATTAAACTGTCAACTACTAAAGAGGTTAGGGACTATCCGTAACAAATACAACCCCGCCCAGCGCTCCTCATCTTAAACGTCCTCATCCTCTACTCTATCATGGCTTGCCATCATCAACCCCTTGAAAATTCACATTTAATTTTCTCCACCCCTGGGCTGGAAATTCTCACTCTCATCCCCGTTGGCCGTTGCTGCTCTTGCGCCCCACATCCTACGGCTTTGCCCAGATGCCGTGCGCCACCACACTCATTCCGTCTCCAACTCTCCATGGCATTAAAAGACTCTTCCATCACCTATACAGATTCCTTCTATTATGATCCATTATGTGAATCTCTTATGAAGCTCAATCATGTGGGATTATATTCGGGAAAATTAACTTTTGTAAGCTGAATAGTTTGAATTTTAATTGTATTTATTTCAATTAATGGAAAATTGACTTTTGTACGCTGAAAAGTTTGAATTTAATTGTATTTATTTCAATTAAGGGAATCTCTTGAATTCAAAAGATTTGATAGCTTTCTGTGACTTACCGGAGTCTATGATTTGAACTTATATGTATTTATTATCATTTAATGGAAATTTGAACATATGTGGAGTCGTTCACATATTCTTCTTTCTCCGACATTTTTATTGGCTACTAGTTGGAAATAAACATAGATCATCAAAATAGTCTAAAAGTAAATCTGGGAATGTCATGAACAAAGTTGTGACTAGTAATCCTCTATATTTCACTTAGCTCACAAAAAAACAAAAAAACAAAAAAAAAAAAAACTTCTTTTTTTTCCTAATAATTTACTAGCAGAAGATTCAAACTCTACTGACATGTTTGGTTGTCAGTAATTTTGATTTTAAATTCAAATTTTATAAGAGAATTTAATAATATGAATTCAAATGTGTGAATTAAACAGGTCCTACTCTTTATCGTAAAGTTAAGAGCAGAATTATAGTATGAATGCGCAACAATTTTGATACGAATCTAGATCAACTCACTACATAATTGGATGTGCAACACTTTTGATACAAAGCTAGATCAACTCACTAATTGGATGTGCAACAATTTTGATACGGACCTAGGTCAACTCACTAAATTATTAAAAAAGCTTTTCAACAAAAACACTGCATTCATAAGAGTAATGAATAGATCAGAATATTAAGACAGACACGAAAAGAGATAAACAAATTATAAACACGACAAAGGCCACGAGTTTTATCTCAATACGAATTAAAATTCTGTCATCATGTCACCTATTCAATTATGCATCTTTAAACCCAAAACTCTTCAATTCACACTCCAAATCACAGATCATAAAACCAAAATAAAAACATTTTTAAGCACTCCGAACAAGAACACTGCGCATCATATCCTTGAACTCGAAGAAATCGACGCGACCGTCATGGTTCCGGTCGACCGACGTGATCATCTTCTCGACTCTTTCGCACCCCCTCTTTCCGATCTCCTTCCCCTCCGCAAACCCTAGCTTCCCGAGCACCACTTGCAGCTCCTTTGCCGAAATGTAGCCGTCGCCGTCCTCGTCGAACACCTTGAACGCCTCCGACAGATCCGACTCCTCCTGCGGAACCTCCGCCTCCGCCGCCGACTCCTCGAGTTCCGCGGCGAAGTAGGTTTCGTTGAGCGATTGGTGGAGCGACGCGAAATCGTCGAATCGTAGGCCGACATTTCCCGGCTTGATGAACGATTCGACGGTGGATTCGAGATCGGCGAGATCGGCCTCCAGGCCGAGGAGGCCGAGGGCTTGGCTGAGCTCCTGGACGGAGATCACGCCGTCGCCGTTCTTGTCGAAGAGATCGAAGATTCGGCGGAGGCGGAGGGAGTTGAGGCTAGGGCACCGGAGACGGAACGACGCCGAAGATGATTTCTTCTTGCTGAGGCTACGGATTCGCGGCGATGGAGACGGAGCGGCCGCTGATTCCATTGTCTTGATTGATCGATCGATAATCTGTTTTTTTTTTTTGTTTTTTTGTTTTTTTGTTTGTTTTTGAGGTTTGCTCTGTGGATTTCAATGGCGGAAATCGATGGAGACAGTGGATTAAATATATATATATATATATATATATATAGGGATCAGCAGCCGGTGGCGCGCGTCCGAATTGTGAAGGAGGAGAATGGGTTGACGCGGCGACGACTGAAATTTTCTGGGAAAGTTGAATGGAAATTTAAAAGGAAAAAGGCAAGTGGCTGAAAATGGGAAATTGCTAATGAGGCACAGTGCGGGTTTGGCGGGCACGACTGGTTCTGTTTTTTTCTAGATATTTGGAAAATAAAAAGCAATTCTTTTAAAAAAATTAAAATTAAAAATAATGTGGCAACTAAGAGCTCTGAAAACTCAAGGGCCAAAAAAAAAAAAACAAAAAACAAACAAAAAAGTCGTACAACTATGAATTTAAAGGTATAACGTGTACGAACGAATCAAACAAAACGTAAGAGTTGAATCGCGAGTGGTCTACGCAACGCTGCTCTAATTATCAACGGTGCTCTAATTGTCTTATGGAATTATTCTAATGAGTGGCCCTTTCCACAGTCCACGTATGGGAATATCAATAGCTTACTTCAATCAAAAAAGAGGTAACGACCTTTTAAAAAAAAAAAATTTAATAGGCTACTTCAATAAAAAAAAAGATATGACCTTTTACAAAAAATTAATAGGTTATGGGATTTCAAGCAATACAAAATCAAAGAAACAATTTTTAGAGCAGTTTAAGATTAAAAACCTAAATCAGTCAGTAAACAAATCCTTCATACTTCGGTGGTTCGGTCTTTGATTTTTTTGATTTGAGTCGATTGGCGGTTGAAAATCGAGCAAAACCTACTCTCATATGTATTATGTATGTATGTACATGTATGTATATGTATGTATTAGATGTATGTGTTTGCTTGGTATTTGTTTGCAGTTTTTGAGGTTATTATACGTTTGATTTGGATGTTTTGTTTGTGGGATACAAATTGTCTTAGACTATAATTTGAACCTGATAACCAAACGGTGGCTGTGTTTATGTCCTTAGTTGGATATTGTGTGTTAACTTGCGTGAGACCAATGCTTTGTATCTATCTTCATAATAATCATTTTTGGTTAAAAAAAAAACGAGATATTCATACTATCACTTGCATATTTTTAATCATGTGACTGATACGGAAAATTGTATAAAAGCCTTTCAAAATTGATTGGTACAAATACCGAGTTGGTAGGTCCTCCAATAGACTCGATCGGTGTTTGGCTTTCAACTTTCAAACACTAACTAGTCATTTTTTTATCCTCGACTAACATGAAATCAAAAAGAAATCAAGCAACAAATATTTTTCTTGTAATTAAAAAAAAGTTAAGTTTAGGATTAATGGAAGAAGAAGAAGAAGAAGTTTTAAGAGAATTGGATCACTCGTTTTGTGGAAACTTATAAGTTCCGTTCATTTCGCCGATTCGAATTTAAAATTCGAGTTTTGTTACAGTAAAAAACTCTAAAAAACAGTCACATCTAACTTTTTACTACAGTAAAATGCTCTTATATAAAGGCACATCTAACTTTTTACTATAGTAAAAAACTCTCATATAAAGGCACATCTCAACTTAAATCAGTAAATTAAACGGGCCATAATAGGTTAATATATTAACTTCTTACAAATAGCTAGATACCTATGACACGGTTACTATCCTTCACTTGCAACCTTTGGCTTTAGTATCTTATTACATTAGATATTAAATATTAGATTTGATCTTGATCGTTAAAAAGTAATATGGCGGTTGTAGACAAAACATGTAAAGAATGCTAGAAATATTTTATGTTTAACAAAATTATAAGGAATAGTAATAAAATAATTATCCTTCCAAAACGCAATTAATGATGGAATTAAAATATAACTGAACCAACGAAATTTCTTAAAAGGTAGGTTTGAAATGATATTCCTCTCTCTCTGTCTCTCTTTATTCTCCCCCTCTCTCTTAAACGAAAAAGAGTTACAACTTTTCATTGGAGCTCCGGACACAAGATTGGGCTCCCAGTCTTAGTTTTTTATCTTTTGACTCGTCTCTTTGTGGGCTTTACGATGACATGAGTGGTGTACAGTATGATGACTCTGTTTGGACAGATCTAAAACTAGCCAAAGCTTGGAATTCACACATATGAGATGTGTTTTATGGCGCGTTCGTCTGTGGATGGCTGAGATCTCTGGGGTTTTTTTCTTCAGGGTAATGGACTTCTTGGGACGGTGGCGGTGTTTCCTTCCGGCAACGTTTGGCGAAGCTTTCTAGTGACGTTTAGCGGCCGTTTTCCGACTATGTTAAGCGCCTCTCAAAGCCGGCTGCCCTCCTTGACGGTTTCTATGCGGGCTATCCCTTTGTTGGAGGCTTTAAACAGTGATGTCCGAAGATTTTCTTTTTTATTTTCTTGTTCTAGTTTGTGTGTAATAAAGGCGGTGTTACTCTCTGCCGAGTTTGTTTTCTACAACTAGAGAATTCTCTATGTTGTGTATGTCTCTCCGTTATTTGGAGCTTTGTCTCGATTGAATGGCTTGATCTATTGACTGTTTCGGTCTCTAACTAGCTGTGGTATTGCTCAAATTATCTGTATCAAGCGGGTCTATCCCCACTTAGTCTCGACACTTGTTTTTGTTCATGCGTTGTTTATGTCTTCTATAACGGATCTAGTCAGTGGTCCGGGATCGATTGCTCTTGTAACTGGGGTTGTTTACTATTTGTGTTTGTATTTTCTTTTTCAATGGATGAAATTTTCCCCTTTGTCAAAAAAAAAAAAAAGGAAATGATATTAGGAAAAAAAAAATCATTACCATTGCCTTAAATGATGTCTGAATTTTAGAATTTACTTTAGTAAACTTAATTATATGTTATCTCATATATGTTACATTGTCTTTATTTATTATTTCATTAGTCGCTTTAAGTTTTTTCGTTTATTGGTACTAATTTTATGGTATAACTAATATCCTCATCTTAATGATTTTTAAAATTTCTTCGCCAGTATCAAAATCAACATTTAAAAAAAGTAATTACATTATCTTGTATGTTCTTGCCGACATTATTCGACGACTAAACATCTTCCAAAATTCCACCATTACACCTTTCCAATTGAAGGGAATCAAAATATGATCTCATCTCTGATTAAAAAAACAAGAGAATAAAAAAAAAACATTGAATGGTAACATCATTATTAATTATGTAGTAGAAAAGGTGATTAAAAGTAAACCGCCGATTAAACATCGTTATACTAACTAGTAACTACTATGTCATTTTCTCGTTTCAGTTACTATGTTGTTTTGCAGCGTACAAATGCAACAAAGAACAACATTTAGGCATAAATCAAAAATTAGTTTAAAGACATTGGCATTATAACTGTAAACGACCTATAACGACATGATATTCAAAGCAAAAAAAAAAAAAAAAAAAAAAAAAAAAAAAAAAATTTAAAAAAAAAAAAAAAAAAAAAAAAAAAAAAAAAAAGACATGATATTGAAATTTTAACAATGTCAACGACATAGTAAATTATATAAAATGGTTATAATAATGATAAGGTAATTTGATAAAAATTATTGTAATGACAAGTGAAAACCCTATAGCATAATTAAAATAAAACTATAAATGTGACGCTAATTATAATTATTGAGTGGTATTAGTGCAGATTTAAAAAAAAAGTAACGGGGGGCGAAAGCTTAAAACATGTACACTATATGAAACTAAAAGTTAAGGCTCATAGAGACAATCCAATCACACAAATTGAAAAACACCAACACACAATGAATAATTGTGAAAATATTAAAAGAAGATTATTGAGTTCATGTTCTGTACCTTATCTCTCACCATCTAGATGGATGGTTGAAGTTAAATGTGGTGAAACCTTAGGATTGGGGCGGGCGAAAGCTTAGAAGATGTACAATATATGAAACTAAAAATTAAGGTTCATAGAGACAATCCAATCACACAAATTGACAAAACACCAACACACAATGAATAATGGTGAAAAGTTTAAAAGAAAACTATTGAGTTCATATTTTGTACCTCATCTATCACCATTTATGTGGATGGTTGAAGTTGAATGCCGGTAGCATTGCCGAGCCCTGTCTTGTTCATCCAGCTAGGTGGTACTCAAATTCTATTTGTGAGAGCTCCTTCGGTAAGGAGTCTTCTGTGTGTTATAATCTTTACGGGAATGAATCGCATATGTTGGTTGAGAATTGCTCGGGAATTAATTGATAGTTACTTTTCGGGTTGGGCTACCCTCCTTCTAACATCAAAATGTTGGAGTAAAATTTTATCCAACACTAAAAGCATGCATACTCTCAAAGCGAAAAATTCAAATCAAATGAATACTTGAATCAAGAACGTGATAAGAACACTCAAAGAATATTAAGAAGTTCGCAAAAAAGACAAATGAAAAAAGGTTTATAGCACAATTGCCCCACGAACTTATCATGATTTAACAAATTGCCCCTTAAAATTTTTATTTTGACAATCAACCCCCTATCTTGTAAAATTGTCGCAATGCCCCATTTTATTAAATTTGGCTCATTTTTTTATTAGATTTAAGGGGTTAAGAGTAGATTAATTGAAAGATTTGTGTTATATTTGAATCAGGTTGTTGAACTTTTTTGTTGAACGTGCTATTTCGACACTAATTTAACACAATCATCATCAAAATGGGGCATATTGCAACAATTTTATTAGTTGAGGGAGAAACTTAAAAAAATTAAAACTTCAAAGACAAGTTGCTAAAACCATACAAATTCAGAAGGTAAGTGTATAAAATATATATTTTTTTTTAAATCTGATATAATTTAGAGAGCCATTTTCTCATTAATACATAAGAAATGATTCATCTTCCAATATTGTAACCAATGAGTGAGTCAAATGCCTTTTATCTTAGAGCATTACAAGTTTTTACGCTTTGTTTGGTAGAAGGGTTAAGAGTATAAGACGGATAGAGAGAGTTTGAGAGATGTAGAATATAAAGGATAAAAATATCATATTTTATCATTAGTATTGTTTAGTAGGATAAAAGAAGAGTTCAAAAATGAATGCTAGTAATTTGTCTAATTACTATATTGTTTATTTTATAATCTGATAGTAATTTCTTTTAAAGAATAAAATAGTCCTTTTAACTTAAATTTAATGAATTTTATAAATCCTCCAACTAATTAAATGGTCCAAATTGATGGGTTCAAAAGGAGAGTCTCTCATTCCATCTACCCTCTCTCCTTGCATCCCTCCAACAAAATAATAAATGTGTCCTCTCCTCCCATCACTCTCTCTCCACCCCTCTCCTTCCCTCTTTCTCTCCCTCCATTACTATCTAGAGGTTTGCTTGAGCTTCCCATTTAGGTGGAGCATGGGCCTAGATTTTTTTAAGCAGAGTATGGACTCTAAATTTGTTCTAAGCAGAGCATGGGCTCGGGTTATTTTAGCCAGAGTATGGGCTCAGGTAATTTTGGGCAGAGCATGGGCTCGAATTGTGATACTGGATCTTTATTAACAACTTGTGCGGTCAAAACCAACACCGTCATAAATGTTACTCTTAACACAAAAAAAAAAAGTAGAGAATTAAGATTATCACATTATAAAATGATAAATTAACTAGGTTCTACATATGTTAAACTCCAACACATATAGTAGAGAATAACATTATCACATTATAAATCATAAATTAACTAGGGTTCTACATTGTTATGTAATAATGTTGATGCTCCTCATATATTAGTATTTAGTCGCATAATAATGAGTCTATTAACTAGACATTACAAAATATGTTTCTATAAAATCTTTAAAAAAAAAAAAAAAAAAAAGTCAAAACCAATTGTATCAAACCGCCAACACCTCCCAGACCCACAACATTGTTTTTTAAGAGTTTAATTTTTATTTTTATTTTTTCTTGTAATTATAAGAGTTAAGAATTTAACCACGACAAACAAAGCTAGAAGATGCCAGTACAACATGTAATATAATATTTTTTTCCGTATATATATATATATTCTGAGAAGAGAATCAATTGTCTAAAATTTTTTTTCCGGGAAAGAATCACTTGATGACTTTTTGGTATAAGGATTCTGAATTTAGAATTATGATTCCGGGTTGAAATCAGTGTTTGTTTCAAAAAATAAAAAATAGTTTTGATTTGATTCACCTAAAATCAGTGTTTGGTTTGAATGATTCTGATTTAAAGTTTAAACCCTAATGTGATGTTTTAAACTATGAATCGCCCATAATTCTAAAATCACTTTCCCCCTTGATTTTGGGTGGTTCAAACTCATGATTTTGGTTCTAGTTTCATAACCATGATTTGGACTTAAAATCATGAATCATAGTTCTGATTTCAAAATCAAAACTAAAATCATCCTAATTTATATTATCGTACCAAACGAACCCTTATATTAGTGAACTACTAGAAGGCGGAAAGCTCATGATCAATTGCCTGTTTTCTTTTTTATTTATTTTTTTGTTAAGAGAAAAAAAGGATTAGTGATGTGTTGATGTCCCCTTCAGCGTTTTAAGAAAAATTTATTGAGACTAGATGCGGGAAAATAAGGGTCCATTTAATTTGCTCGTTCAAGTCAGTAATTTTGATTTATTAGCAAAAATTTTGTAAGAGAATAAATTTTTAAATTCAATTTTTTTTTTTAGATGAGAAATATTATATCAGAATCAAAATCATAAGTTCAAGTATAAAAACCAAACGGAGTCTAATAGTTTGTTTAGTAGTTTGTTTAGTTAAAGGATTCAAATCATGATTTAAATTATAATTTATGATTTATTACAATATTTTTTTTCATAAAAAATATACATAAATTAAAAATAATTTTAATTTATAAACTAAATAATAATTTTAATCTATAAATCAAACGCTCTCGAAAAGAATCTAACTCATACTTTCATCACCCAAATCATAGCATGCCCAAGCCATATTCAGCAGGCCTACTAAGAGAGATAATTACAGCCTTACTACAGACGAGAAAAATCAATTTCTGGTTGACAGAAGAGAGAGATTTGATAAGTCATTCTTTTCCAGCTATGCCACCACGGCACCACCGCCCCACCGCCAGTGGTATCAATTGCACGTCATCTTCGAATCCCATGCGTGGACAAATTTTATAAATTTCACTCGAATTTTATCATTTGTATTAATATACTTTTAAATTTTATAATATGTATGTTGTGCTTTTAAATTTTATCACTTATATCAATATATCCCTTAAGGTTAACTCTATTAAATTTTTTAACGAAAATGTTTATAAATACCCTCTGAACTTTGTCACTTTTATTAATATGCCCCATGAACTTTAAAATGTACATGTTTTATCCTCCGAAGTCTGAACTATGATATGTTTTTAACTTTTTCACATCCATCTTGATTCTATCAGTTTTTTGAATAAAAATGTTAATATGACCATTAAATTGTTAATTATCTATGATATTTGAGGTTTATTGAATACATTCTCTTCTAAAAATGTTAGTTAAGCACCAATTCTCAAAACATTAATTAATTAGAGACAATAAATAAGAAAAAAAATGAGGAGTAAATCTATATAATGTAATGAATATTGTTAGTTTTTTTCTTAATATGTCACCTAGATAGAAGTGCTCGACATAAAACATGTTTATGCTTTATACATGTATAGCATTTATAAATCTAAATGCGTTCAGGTCATTTATTTTATTGTACATTTTAAAAAAAATAAAAATCAACACAAAACTTAAGAAACTAATTTACTTAACAAACTTTAATAGTCAAATATAATAGATAATTAGCAATTTAATGATCATATCAAAATTTTCGTTCAAAAAATTGATAAAATCAAGATGGAGGGAGAAAAATTAGAGACATATCATTGTTTGGGAGGGTAAAATAAGTACATTTTAAAATTCAGGGGACATATTGACATAAGTGATAAAGTTCAAGGGGATGTTGATAAGTATTTCTTTTTAAAAACTTAAAGTCTTTAATCTCAGAATGCATGTTGACACAAATGATAAACTTTAAAGAGCACAACATATAAATTTTAAAGTTTGAGATACGTTGACACAAATAACAAAATTTAGAACTTATAAAATTTGTCTTTTTTTGAATTTTGGTTCATCTCCTCCTCGTGAGATCTGTCTTTGTTACTAGGTAGGGAATATCAGCATATGACGAGGATGATATTTGAGTCACGTCATTCCCGGATCAAATTAAATATTTTGTGGCACAAGTTTGGCATTGGCAAATGAACGATAAATAATAGAATCCTATGAAAGGAAAGAGAATCCTATGAAAATGAGAGGTGTCCCAATTGGACTTTGCTCCTCCATTTTAATATTTACCATTCCGAATGTGTTGATGAGTAATAACCAATAGTCATTAAACTTTTTATTAAAGTTTGTACAGTTTAGATGTCCTGGGTTAATATCAAATTCAATTCTAAAGAAAGAGAAAAAAATAAGAAATATCACCTAAGGTGTTAAAAAAAAATTATTTATGTATTTCGCTTAAAAATAAACAATTATCATTTAATTAAAAAAGAGAAAATAAAAGTTACAGTGATAAAAATTATAAGTATACATAAAATCATAACAAACTAATTACTTTTTTCTTAAAGAAAAGGTATTTTTTTTTCATTCATCTCCTACAAATCGAAATAAGCTTATTATTCATTGCAACTTTAGTACTTATACCATTAAAGTGTCAATATCTTAACGGTTTTAATCACATGTGACTACTAAGTGACTAGTTCGTAAATAAACTATTAAAAAGCGTTCTTAACTAACCAACAACATGATTAAAATTCCTTAAAAATTAAGGACTCAATAATAAAAGGATCCAATTTGCAATTTACGATAAGATCAAGTGAAAGTTTTTTTTTTTTTTTTTTGCTATTTTATTTCGAGTTAAATGTGAACTAAGTATGACAACTCCTAATCTTCTAAAATCAACATTGAAATTAACCCATTTAGGACCCGTTCGATTCGTTAATTTAAATTTTTAATTCGAGTTAAAATGTGATGTTATGTGAGAGCTTTTTATTGTAGTAAAAAATTAAATGTGACTGTTTATGAGAACTTTTTACTGTAATAAAACTCGAATTCTAAACTTAAATCAACGAAAAAAATAGAGCCTTAATTTTCATATAATTTGATGTAATCTCACGTTAGAATACCGAATAAAAAATTCTTTTCAAAAAAAAAATATCGGATACAAGATAAAAGTTACCGTATAAAGAAGAAAAAACCCTTGGAGAAAAAAAAAAGGAAAAAAAAAAAAGAAGATTGCAGTAGATAACCCTTTTTAAATCTAATTTACCAATTTTAACTGCTTAGTAAAATCTAAAAATTTTACACAAAACATTTTTTTATAGTTTTTTTTTTAAAAAAAATTGGGGCATACCCAAAAGCACTAAAGATTTTTTCACATGGAGTGGGTCCCATTGGTTACCCTTCAATCTTGATAAACGGCTTATGCTTTGTACCACATAAGCTACACAGTTGTCATTGATCAAGTCTGGTCTAGTCTAGATTTAAAACCCAAAACGGACAAAAAACAACCGTGTTGTAGATAGAGAGTGTTTTTTATTTGCTAGATGTGTTGTATAGATAGAGTTAAATCAAAAGAGTTATACCCAATTGTTTTTTCAGTTTTTTTGTCTTTCTTTCTCGACAGCTAGAGAGAGTTAGAGAGAGAAAAAACATAATTTAATTGGTGAAAAGCGAGCGACAGGGATTGATGTGAATCCAACTCAAAATTTATAAATATATAAAAAAAGTAGAGAGAGAGAGAGAGAGTGAGTGTCTGTATTCTGCGACCTTTTTGCCTCTCTCTCTCTCTCTCTCTCTCTCCTGTGAAATTCATCTCTCCCGCCGCCGCGAACCTCTGCTCTGCAACTCTCATCAGTTTTCTCTCGTTTTCTCTCTCTAAGCTCTTCTTTCATTTCTTCAGGTGCTTCGTCCTCTTCAATTTCGAGGTATTTTCACTTTCCACATTTCGTAATCTCTTCTTTTGTTTTGATTGTTTTGTTGATTTGATTTGATTTTTTTTTTGGATTTTTTAGGGTTAGTCTCTGCTGCTCTTGTGCTAGGGTTTTCTTTTACCCCTTTCTTAAGCCGTGTTGGACGATAATTAGGGTTTTATGTAATCTTTTTGCGGAAACGAAATCCCGTCATTCCTTGTTTTCTCTAAAGTTTAGTGGACGTTTGCTTTATGAACTCAGAACCATCGTCGGTTTATGTGTGTTTTTTGAGAGAAAATACGAGTCACGAACATGATTTGAATTATGATACGAATTCTCGTACTAAACACCCTTTGCCGAGTATTTTTGTTGTTTGTTTTCTTGGATTTGTTTCCATTAACAACTCGGAATTTTTTTTTGACCGTTGGATTTTGTGGTCAAATCTTTTGTGTCGTTTTAGATGGGAAATAATTTTGTTCTCATTTGTGTTTGAGTCTGTTTTGCAAGGTTTCACCCACATGTTTAAATCTTTTGTGTCGTTCTGGTCAGAAATGGCGTTGGTGCAATGTAGTTTCAGCTGTTTTTGAGCCGTACTGATTGAATTGCCTTAATCATTTTTTTTTTCCAGTTGGTGATATCTGCCTTTGCTTTAATCATACGGCCAAATAGAATGGGTTCTGGTGGTTGCACGAATCAAGTTAACAATTTTGAGGATCTCGGTACGAATTCCTTTAAGAAATTGGATTCGATTAGTGTTGTGGAAACTCATAAGGAGGTAGCGGAGATATCAGAAGCTCACAAGACAGATTCTTTAGGGCCGATTACTCCTGATTCCGACCGAGAGAATGGCGATTTCCCTATTACCTTGAAATCTCCACCCTCATCTGTTAAGAAGAGGGAAAGTGGGGTTTGCTTTGATTCCGAGACTGAGCAAATGGTAGAAAATCCATCGTGTTTTGATGATCACGCCAGTCCCCGAACGCCAAAGGATGGCATCTTTGACCCATTTGCCCCCGGTCCGGATGACCTGGCATTGGCTCCCCAGTGCAGAAAATATGTCAGCAAATCGAGGAGTGTTGTTGCCAGGAGGCTGAGTTTTGACTTCTCCGTCAAAGTTCTTGACGACAAGGATTGTAGAAATGATGCATTATCAATTTCAGATGAGGAGATTGTTGAAGCTATGTATGAAAGTCTGTTGGATACTATTGTCTCATGCCAGACAGAGGTTGTTCTTGCCGAGATTTCGAGTTTGGAGTGGGATTCTAATAACTGCAGAACGCCTCCTTCAGCGCCACACCTAAGTGGAGTTGCTGAAACTTGTCCTGGTGCTCCTCTGAGGCCTGCAGGGAAGTCAAGGAAAATTGATTTGGCACTATGCAGGAGGCTTCAATTCTCACCGTGATGGGCTCGTGTTCTCATATGCAGAGAAACTGATGGGCTCATGTTCTAACCGGTAACTGATATTCGTAGACGCCTCATTATGCTAATCTGAAATGTGAAAACTAACATTTGTGTCCCTAAATATTGACCTCTGGTTCCTAGAGAACATGTTAATTGGCAAACAGCTTCTCTGACAGAGAGACCCAACTTTGGTAGTTGTAATGTATAGTAATCGTTAGCATTGTTCCTATTTTGATACAAGTCTCTTCCTAGACCAAATTAGACTAATGGAAAGGCCTGCGTTCAACTGTATTTCCTTACATTTATGGAGTTAGCATTGTTCACAACCTCATTTACCAGTACTAAACTCATGACACTGCAAAATGACAGTGCTTCATTTCATTGATGGTTTTATCAGAAAAAGGAATATTTATGTGTGCAAATGTTTGTATTTGCTTATTTTTAATTGTTTGATGGTAATACCAAGTAATTGAAAGTCTATGATGCTTTCTCCATAGATTCCTGACAAAAGTTGTGAGCATGAGCTGAGAACTTGAGACCACTCTATTCTCTGTTCATTTAGCTATGCATTATGCAGTTGTAGTTCTATGTAATCAGGTTGGTTTGTTACCTAATTCTTCTTACTTGTAAAGTGTAGTAAAATGTTTGATTTCGTAATTGGTGCTCTTATGTACCTTTTTGGATAATGAACTTCTTGTTCTTATGTGCTGCAAAGACATCCCAACCAAACAAAACCAATTGAGTCATCAAGTCAGGCCTATCCAGTATACCAATGCCTGGCATTTTTCGAAATCGTTTTGTTGCTCTCAACTGGCTAGAGGTTGGACACGAGAATATTTCTTCACAAATGAGTATACTGGGGATCAACTCCATTATTCTGAGATCGTTTCTTCTTCACCATGGAGATGGAGTAATAAGATGGGCGTTCTTAGTTTGTAGCAATAAATTGGATTTGAAAATAAATTGTGTAGTGTGTCTCGAACTCTCTCCTTTTGTCCGTTGTATATCTTTTTATGAAGTATGATAGTGGGAGATGTATAGACTAGAAACAAAATAGTCAAAATGTTAAAAATCATTTAATGATTAACATTATAGTTTCCATCTTTTAGTTTCCCGTCGCATAAAATGCTAGTTGTGGGTTGTGGGTTGTGTTTTCTGCTTTCTGCTTGAGAGAAGTTTGTGGATCTGCGATGTGATTTGCAATGTCACCCTTTTAATTGTCATTGTGGAATGTGGATTTGAATGGAATGGCAAAAAAGGGTTGCTTATAGTTGTTACTGTTAGGTAGGGCCTTTAGCTGTCGTTCTCAGTTTACTGTGAAATGTTTCTACATTGTTAATGTCGCCGCTTTTGCTGTTGCCACTTCCCAATTATTGTCAGGTCTTCCCTTGCCTCCCTGCATCCGTGGCTTGCAATTATATTATTTCTTCTTTTCTTGCCCTTTTGTTCTTCCTAAGAAAAGATCTTTCTAGGAAGGGAAAAGGCAGTAGACAACTAAATCATGTGCTTTAAATCATGTGCAGTCTTCTCCTCTCTATTTCTAATAAAAATGCACGTATGCTTTTGGTGTGTAAAGCACCCTTCCAAAAGTGTACTATGGGTTGTTCGCTTTTTATATTTGAGTTTTTAATTCAAGTTGAGATGTGATATTTTTTAAAAATTTTTAATTATAAAAATTTAAAATTAAAAACTCGAATCGATGAGATGAACGAGATTAAGGTATAATCTTCCGGCGCTCAGGAGTAGACTTTTGTAGCACTTAAAGTGGATTTCTCTTTAATGAGCAGTTAAAGAGAGGTATCTATTCGCATGATTAAAAGTATACTTTTTTGTAGTACTAAATAACTACTTGCTTTTATTCACTTGTCTACCATGGAGATCTTGTGTTATAAATGACCAGTGAAATCTTTATTCTTGTTTTGGGCAACCAAGTAAAGAATACAGATTTTTGTTTGGAGGCGTAAAAGTTGCTTCGAATCATTATTTTTCTTTATTCTTTATTCTTGTTATAGGCGCAGACCGTCAGCTTAGCGCATGAAAAAGTTTGTAAGAACATTACCAAAAACACACCGTCCTAAAAAATAATAATAATAATAATAATAAACATAGAAAAGTGAGAACTCTATAAGATTTTTATTTTGTCAGTTTTACGTATTATTTTGAGAAATCACAGGATAGAAATTATAGATTATAAATCAGACTGCAAACTATAGTTTGAGGCAAATTATGATGTCAACCAAACCAAAGAAAATATGTGACTGCAAACAATCTCCCCATGGCAAGATTTGGTTAATCTACAGGCATTCAATATCCACTCCTTTTCCACAACAAGAAAGCTCTCTCTCTCTCTATGTATATCTCTCTCTCTCTCTCTCTCTATATATATATATGTATATAACACATGGACTGTAACATAGCCAAACCAAGAATCCTCAGTATGCAGATTTTATAAAGTCTTTAAGAAGAAGTCCCAAAATCTCTCTCAAATCTTGGCTTTGCTCTTGCAAAGCTGACTCTGAACCTTGAATTCTCTAACACTGATAGTAAACTGGCACACAGACACAGCAACAGCATGCTTCTTGATGAATCCAAGGAAGGTAAGCCTTCCCGGAATCCTCGTCTGCGTCTCCACCATCAACTCTCCGGCTAGAACGTCGCCGATCAAGCCAGCAATCTCCGACCCGAGCTTGTCGACCTCGATGGTCAGCCGGCAAGGAAGCGTGGCGGACCCCCTCGCGGGAATGTTTCCCGGGGCAATATCAACTTCTCCAACCTGCTTCCCCCTGTAGAGCAGCACACTCTTGCCCGTGCCGTGGCGGAAGCTGGCGTGGTTCCGGTTCCGGACGAGGATCTTGAGGTCGAGCGTCACGTTGAGCTCGATTCTCACCGCGGGGAGCGTCACGCTGGGAGAGATGCCGTCGAGGGCGGCCGAGATAATCTCGGTTTTCGGGTCTTTTGGCTTGAAAACAGTCAAGGCGAGGACGAGGAGGATTATGGACAGAATCAATATTAGAAGTATGATTGTTCCGCAAACGGTGATCAGACATCGTCTCCGCGAGTAACTCTTGGCCGTCGTTTTCTGCTCCACGTTAAGTGGTTGGTGATTGTTGATCTCGGCCTCCATGGCCTTCTCTTTTGTTTGCATAATGTTTGGATAGAGTGTGAGTGTTGAAGAGGGAAGCTTTGGTTTATTGTTTACGGAGTAAAGGAGTAATTGTTATTTTTGTATGTTTTCATCAAAAGGAGAAGGAAAAAATGAGTAATTAAAAATATAATATGGTTAGGAGGGTGGTGGGGGAGGGAGTGAAGGCTATAAATGCGCAGTGGAATTTTGAAGAGCGTGAAGTGGTGGGAAGTCATGCAAGGCGGTTGGAGGTTATGGGTCTCAATTTATTGCGTAATTTGGACTCCTATCCGACATTTATAAATAATAATAAAAAAAGTTGAAATTTCTTTTCCAGCAAAAAAATAAAAATAAAAATAAAAAGTTGAAATGATTGACCTTTGTCCTTTTATATGGGCTTAAAAGAGGCTTGTTTTGCTCCACCTTGTGTACGTAAGATTGTATTTGCAGTCGGTTTGACGTATGAACTTATGAGTTTCCCATTGGAGTCACCGAGATAATTCCGTGCCGGCTGAAAGTGTAAGGCGGCCGCTTTAGCCCTTATATATTCCACCCATTTAAATTTTTAATTTTAAATTTTTACATTTAAAAATTATTAAAAAATATCACATTTAATTTTTTTATTACAGTTAAAAATTTTTAAAAAATATAATATCTTAATTTAAATTCACAAAGTGAACGAGACTTTAGGCTTATGGCTTAATTGTAGAATAATGGGTTTTTTAAAAATATATATTTAAAAAAATTGTTAAATTTATTTTTAAAAGTGTATGAATCTAAATTTTTATCTCTTACTATTCATTAATACATTTTATTAATATAGTTATTTGACTAAAAAGAGTAATTAATAATAAGAAGTAAAAATCAAGACAAATCACTTTTAAGCAGGATTTCTTTTTTTTTTTTTAATACACTATATACTATTGTAGAAGTTTCCTAATTATATTTTACTAAAAAAATTATTTGATAAGATATGAAAAAAAAAATAACCTTATGACTAAACCATCAAAGTTTTCAGAATTTTATTTAATTAAAAAAATATAACACTTCAATAAGATAAGGTAAAATTCTAATAGTTCTTTTTTTTTTTTTTTTTTTTGAGAAGGTAATGGTTCATAACTGTGCTTTTTTTTTATTTTTTATTTTTTTTACTTACTGAAAAACTTTTTCTATGAATAAGGGAAACAACTTGTCTTCAGTAAAAAAAGGAGGAAAATTGCTAGAACTAGTAAAGCACATGGATTAACTTTCCATAGTTTGACTTTCAATCATATCACTTATCACTCGACACACGCATAGGTATATGAGGACTAATTTGTTAATTGGGATTTCGTCTAAATTTTAAGATTTTCTTTACCTACCTAAATCCTCCGAATTACTTAAAAATCTGTATGAGAAATTGAAAATGAGATAAATACTTATTGTAATTGATTATTTTGGATTGTTCTAAGATTTTTTTCTAGATAAGAATGAGTTTTCAATGGCTACATTTATATCGTGATTACCCATTAAATATAAAAATTTAATAAAAATCTAATTTCATTAATTTAAAATAAATTTTGTCAATTATTCAATTTATTACAACCGTTGGATGATCCATATCTTATAGTTATTATAATACTTATTAATGAGTAAATATTAAAATAAAGAATAAATAAATTTGCTTTAACAAGAATATTGATATATTATGCATGTTTTAGATGTTGATTGTGATGCTTCCTATAAAGAATAAATAAATTTGCTTTAACAAGAATATTGATAAATAAGAATGACCCCATAATCTTAACAAAAAAGAAAAATGAAAACTTCTAAACCGAAAGTCAAGCAATAAATTTATTAAGGTGTTCTTCTCAACTTATATCGTGATTACCCATTAAATATAAAAATTTAATAAAAATCTAATTTCATTAATTTAAAATAAATTTTGTCAATTATTCAATTTATTACAACCGTTGGATGATCCATATCTTATAGTTATTATAATACTTATTAATGAGTAAATATTAAAATAAATAATAAATAAATTTGCTTTAACAAGAATATTGATATATTATGCATGTTTTAGATGTTGATAGTGATGCTTCCTATAAAGAATAAATAAATTTGCTTTAACAAGAATATTGATAAATAAGAATGACCCCATAATCTTAACAAAAAAGAAAAATGAAAACTTCTAAACCGAAAGTCAAGCAATAAATTTATTAAGGTGTTCTTCTCAACTTAGTTCATTTTCATTTAATTTTGATTTATCTCACAAGAAGATTACTTTTGTCTTTTGCAACAAAATTTTGATCCAAAAAAATGGATTGAACTTTTTATAAATTACATGTAATACTTTCCAATTTTATGAAAACACGGGAAGAAAGGTCTTGTAAAAAGAATTCTGCAACAAAATTTTGACCGAAGAAAATGAATTAAACTTTTTATAAATTACGTATAATACTTTTGAATTATAAAATTCAAAAGGGTATTTTTTTTATATTTTCTCATAATATAAACAGTTCCCTTAGAGTTTTTATTTACTTATTTATTTATATAGAGTTTTGTTTATTAGTTTATATACCTGGATCTTGACATCAAGAAAAAAGTTCTAATGTTCAGAGAATGACAACTTATAACTCCGTGCTTCTCATCAAAATCTCCAAAAAAAAAAAAAACGGGAAATTGAAAATAGTTGACTCTTACTCGAGAACATGGAGTGAATTATAAAAATGCTAATTGGTATTTGAATGTTTTATTTTGTGAGAAAATTAAGCCTAATTTATACTTATAAGTAGTACGAGTGAATGGTTAGATTTCAAAAATACTTAAAAATTTTATAATACTTTTTAACTTATTTTTACATGATATTAAATATTTGAGTTTATTAAATGATGTGACATAATATAATTGACTAGATATTATTTAAGATGTCAAAATTAAACAAAAAATCTGCGTCACAAAAGACAAGTTACAAGTAATGTTATTATCTTAAAAGAAACTTACATGTGTAAACCTTATTTTTACAATAGGAAATACTATTTTACTCTACTCATGAGAGTTGTTTATTTAATCGATAGCAGTTTAATATGTAAGAGTGAGTAGTTATTATCAAGATCGAGAAAGAAAAAAAATGATAATGCTTAATATTGATAATTACAGGAAAGCTATATATATAGCTGGAAAACAAAAAAGCTTCTACTAGAAGCTAAAACTGGAAACGACAAATAACACTACAAAACTACTTGCCAGCTCAGCATATTTGACTACAACCAAATAACAAATAAAGCCTAATACGCCCCCTCAAGAGGGACCATGAATGTCCTTGATGGCCATCTTGCATAAAGAAGAATGAAGCAACGGCCAAGATAGTGCTTTAGTAAAAGGATCTGCAAGTTGGTGCTGAGAACGAATCGGCAGGAGCTTCACCAATCCTTTAGAAACCACATCACGAACAAAATGACAATCCACTTCAATATGCTTGGTTCGCTCATGGAAAATGAGATTGGAAGCAATATGAATCGCAGCCTGATTATCACAAAAAAGTATGGTAGGAAAAGCCAAATTAAGAGAAAAATCTGACAATAACTGTCGCAACCAGATCAATTCACTTGCAGTAGATGCCAAAGCCCTGTATTCAGCCTCAGCAGAGGATCGAGAAACCGTAGTTTGCTTCTTGGACTTCCAAGAAACCAGAGAGTCACCCACAAATACACAAAAACCTGTCACAAACTTTCGGGAATCTGGACAAGAACCCCAGTCTGCATCAGAAAAAGCCTTCAACTGAATTGGAGAAGCAACAGAATAAAAAAGACCATGACCTGGACTTGCTTTAATGTAACGAAGCAAATGATGAATTGCCTGCAAATGAGGTTCTCGGGGCTTGGCCAAAAATTGGCTCAACTTGTGCACGGCAAAAGTGATGTCTGGCCGAGTAATGGTGAGGTAAAGAAGCCTTCCAATCAGCCTTCTATATTGAGAAGCATCAGCCAAAAGGACCCCTTCTTCAGCAGCTAAAGACACCTTGGTATCCATCGGCACAGTGGCTAGTTTACAAGCAAGGAATCCCGAATCTTCAAGCAATTGCAGGGTATAGTGTCTCTGGGAAAGCACAATTCCAGCATTAGACCTGGCTATCTCAATCCCAAGAAAGAACTTCAAAGGACCTAAATCTTTGAGCTTGAATTGAATATGAAGAAATCGTTTTAAACGATCAACAACCTCCAAATTAGGCCCAGTGATAATGATATCATCAACATAAACTAGCAAAGCAATGAAAGAGTCACCTGTACCCATAACAAATAAAGAATAATCGGATTTGGATTGTACAAAGCCGAACTGGATCAAGGCACAAGCAAACTTTGAATTCCATTTCCGGGAAGCTTACTTTAGACCATATATGGACTTGTTGAGTTTACAAACTAACCTGGTACCAGTGGAAGCATGCGCCCCCTGAACGCCATGTAACCTAGTCCCATGGTGAACACAATAGCCAAGAGGAAGATCCATGTAAACTTCCTCAAACAAATCACCATTAAGGAAAGCATTATTAACATCCATTTGAAACAAGTACCATTTCTGACTCGCGGCCAAAGCCAAGAGGACTTTAACAGTGACCAACTTAGCCACAGGAGAAAAAGTCTCAAAAAATCAACACCCTCCTGTTGTGTAAAACCTTTGGCTACTAAACGAGCCTTAAATCTGTCAACCGACCCATCTGGTTTATGCTTAATCTTATACACCCATTTACAGCCAATGGATTTCTTTTCTTTTGGCAAAGGAACAATTTGCCAAGTATGATTGGCTTCCATAGCCATTAATTCATCTCTCATGGCATCCCGCCATTCAACATGCTTGACTGCCTGATGATAAAAACGTGGTTCTATGGAGGAAGAAACATTCATAACAAACCTCATATAAGAAGGGAAAAGTTTGCTATAATCTAGAACCTTGGACAAAGGGTAAAGAATCGTGGATGTAGGGTCAAAAACCAAATGAGTACAGTGAAAATCTCGAAGGTAAGAGGGAGGTCGAACAGGCCTACTAGACCACCTGACAGATGAATCAGGCACCCCTGAAACCATTGAGGACTGAGGAATTTCAGGAGAACCAAGACCAGGAAAACCAAGAGCAACACCATGATGATGGCCAAGTGTGGGTTA